CTCCTGTCCCAGCTTCTCGTCAAGAGTCCTACCATGTTCAACCCGATAGATCCTCAGATCACCGCCGTGGACGTGGTAATGGACGTGGTAATGGCCGAGGACATGGACGTGGAAGTCGTGGACGCGGACATGGTCGTGGCAACCGACCTAACCTCAGTTATGGTCCTGGTCGTGGTCGAGGCATCACCAAGCCGACCCGCCACACCAACCCCGATCACTCTGCTTGTACCAGATGTGGGATGTTCAACCACCCAACAAAGCAATGTCGCACCCCCAAGATCCACTGCGATCTATACCAGAAGTACGGAAAATCTCCTGCTGAAGCCAACATGACTCAGCCAGTCGATGCTGCTAACCTGGAAGGTGACGACCTCCTTGATGATGAGAACACCACAAACGAGCAGACCGACCCCATGGAATATGAAACAGCTGATCTCCTCGATTAATTCAATCATCTGAAACTCTGATACAATTTGATTTTGTTCTTTATTTTTTTTTTCATTTTGGGATTTGTTTCATTTTTTTTTTCCATTTGCCTTTATTCTCAGACACTGCTTTACTTTATGATTTATCACATTTTCTGAATTCCTCAACAATGAATTCTATCTTCTATTCATAATAAAGCACACCAGCAAATGGAAACCATAGTCGTAGATAGTGGATCCAGCCACACTATCTTAAGAAACAAAAGTTACTTCATAAACCTAACCTATCAAACCGCAAATATTAGCACCATCGCGGGTCCCTCAAACCTTATCGAAGGATATGGCCATGCCTATGTGTTGCTATCAAATGGCACACAACTTGAAATACCAGATGCTCTATATTCTCCTAGTTCGAAGAGAAATCTTCTGAGCTTCAAGGATATAAGACAGAATGGTTTCCACATAGAAACCCAAGGTCAAGGGAACAAAGAATCCCTCCTAGTCACTAAAACCGTAGACGGCCATAAACAAATCCTCGAAACCATACCCGCGCTCTCTACTGGACTTTACCATGCTAAAGTCAGTATGATTGAAGCTAATACCACTCTCAAAGCCCGGTTTACTGATTATACTATTTGGCACGACCGGCTCGGTCATCCCGGTGCAAATATGATGCGTAAACTAATTCAAAACTCTCAAGGGCATACCCTCAAAGAAAACCGAGCTTATCCTCAACACCTCATGTGCACAGCTTGTTCTCAAGGCAAATTGATCACTCGGCCTTCACCAGTTAAAATCTCTAAACAAACACTTCATTTCCTAGAAAGAATCCAGGGCGATATCTGTGGACCTATACATCCATCTTCCGGACCATTCCGGTACTTCATGGTCCTTATAGACGCATCGACCCGTTGGTCATATGTTTGTCTCTTGTCCTCTCGGAACCAAGCCTTCACTAGGTTCTTGGCCCAAATCATAAAATTGCGGGCCCATTTCCCTGACTTCCCACTAAAGACTATCCGCCTTGACAATGCTGGTGAATTTACCTCACAAGCGTTTAATGACTACTGTATGGCCATGGGGGTAACCGTGGAACATCCTGTAGCACATGTCCATACTCAAAATGGATTGGCTGAATCATTCATTAAACGCATTCAATGGATAGCCCGACCATTACTCATGAGATCAAAGCTCCCGGCCTCAGCATGGGGACATGCAGTATTACATGCTGCTGAACTCATACGCATCCGGCCATCTAGTGAACACAAATATTCCCCATCCCAACTACTCTCGGGTCATGAGCCAGACATCTCCCATCTCAAAACATTTGGGTGTTCAGTATATGTACCCATTGCTCCACCACATCGAACCAAAATGGGACCTCAAAGAAAGATGGGAATATATGTTGGTTTTGACTCTCCCACCATCATAAGATATCTCGAGCCAACCACTGGAGATCTCTTCAAGGCCAGATATGCGGATTGCCAATTCGATGAATCGGTATATCCCTCTTTAGGTGGTGAGACAAACAAGCTGGTCAAAGATCTTTCATGGAATCAAACATCATTAAATTGGCAAGATCCTCGGACTCTAGAATGTGATTCAGAGATCCAAAAGATTATTCATTATCAAAAGCTAGCTAATCAATTGCCAGATTCCTTTGCTGACCCGACCAAAGTAGCCAAATCGTACATCCCAGCTTGTAATGCACCAGTACGAATAGCTGTCCCAACGGGACAGACTCAAGTTGCTACAGAGTCTGCACCACGTCTCAAACGGGGCAGACCTCTCGGTTCCAAAGATAAGAATCCCCGGAAATCAAAGAAAGGTGCAATAACCGAAACCGGGATTCCTGCAATATCAGACATAGCCGCGGCTGAGACTCAATCTAATGAACCCTCAATGGAAGTTCGGGACGCCGAATCTCCAGGTTCAGAAGATAACAATGAGATCTCCATCAATTACAATATGTCCGGAATACAATGGAATCGAAAAGAAGTCGACTTAAATGCACTCTTTGCATACAAAGTAGCACTTGATGTTGCGCTCACGCAAGAGGATCTAGAACCCACGTCAATAACACAGTATACACATCGAACAGATTGGCTAAAATGGAAAGAAGCCATAAACGTGGAGTTAAAGAGTCTCAAACTCAGAAACGTGTTCGGTCCGATCATCCGGACCCCATCACACATCAAGCCAGTGGGCCACAAATGGGTCTTTGTGCGCAAAAGGAACGAACTCGGTGAAGTCGTTCGATACAAAGCACGGCTTGTAGCACAAGGATTCTCACAGAGACCCGGAATCGATTATGAGGAGACTTATTCTCCAGTGGTGGATGCAACAACATTCCGATTCCTCATAAGTCTGGCCATAAGAGAAAATCTTGATCTGCGGTTAATGGATGTTGTAACCGCATATCTCTATGGGCCCCTGGACAACGAAATATATATGAGACTCCCAGATGGCATTGAACTAAAAGACAAAAATGCATCTCGAGATCAATACTGCATCAGGCTGAACAAATCCTTGTATGGACTGAAACAAAGTGGGCGTATGTGGTACAACCGCCTCAGCGATTACCTCATCAAAGAAGGCTACAAAAATGACCCCATCAGTCCATGCATCTTCATCAAGAAGTACTCAAACAAAGGATTTGTAATCATAGCAGTATACGTGGATGATCTAAACATCCTCGGAACATCTGGTGAGATCTCCCAAACAGTCGACTGCTTAAAAGCAGAATTCGAAATGAAAGACCTAGGCAAAACAAAGTACTGTTTGGGATTACAACTTGAGTACATCAAAGGAGGAATCCTTGTGCATCAATCGGCTTATATCGAAAAGGTACTCAAGCGATTTAATATGGACCAAGCTCACCCATTGACCAGCCCAATGGTAGTTAGAAGCTTAAGTGATGACCCTCTTGGTCCCAAAAAGGATGATGAAGAAATCCTTGGTCCTGAAAAGCCATACCTCAGTGCTGTAGGAGCGTTAATGTACCTGGCTAGTCACACTAGACCAGACATATGTTTCGCCGTGAACCTCCTCGCTCGATATAGTTCATCTCCAACTCAGAGGCACTGGAACGGTATAAAACATCTCCTAAGATACCTTCGAGGTACTCAAGACTTAGGACTCTTCTATACTAACCAAAATAAAGATGGGTTAGTCGGCTTCGCCGATGCAGGATATCTATCAGATCCGCACACTGCCAAGTCTCAAACTGGCTACGTTTTTACGCATGGAGGAACAGCCATCTCTTGGAGATCAATGAAGCAGACACTCATTGCCACTTCATCAAACCATGCTGAAATCCTAGCCATTCATGAGGCTAGTAGGGAATGCGTCTGGCTGCGCTCCATGACTCAGCACATCCGCAGAGATTGTGGTATGGACGAAGACACACAGCCCACGGTGATGTATGAAGACAACGCGGCATGCATAGCTCAGCTCAAGGAAGGATATATCAAAGGAGATCGGACGAAGCACATTCTACCGAAGTTCTTCTCAACCTCAGACTGGCAGAAGGACGGCACTCTCAGCGTTCAGCAGGTCCGATCCAGTGAGAATTCAGCTGACCTCTTCACCAAATCATTGCCTACTTCAACACACCGGAAGCTCGTCAAACAGATAGGAATGTATAGACTTAGAGATCTGCAGTGATGCTACAATCAGGGGGAGTAATGCGTGTTGTACTCTTTTTCCTTCACCATGGTTTTGTCCCACTGGGTTTTTCCTGGTAAGGTTTTAATGAGGCAACATTCCCCAGTGCATTATCGAGATCCCGATTGAGTAGCTGACCCGGTTCACTCGTCCAAGGGGGAGTGTTATAACACATATCATATATGGACTCTTATACCGGCCCATTAGGCCCATCAGGACATTGTACTTAACCTAGATTTCCTATGTACTCTATATATACATTCCAGTGATTAATAAAGTTTCTAAGTTTTCACAACATGGCCAATATTTTGTTATCATTGAGTAATTTGCAATGCATATGAAGCAGTCGCTTCTCTATCCTCTGTACTTCTACCTCACATGTTTTTATTTTTTTCTTTTTAAACTAAAAACATGTGAATCACACGGCTTCTTATGCAGAAAAGTTGAAAGAAATCGACAAATTAAACACCATGTACTTGAGAAATAAGATTGGCAAATAGCAAACAACATCAATTCTTCTCACCACCATTTCGAGTGACCAAATAATCCGATTATTAGATCCAGATTGCCATAAATGCGTTGAGTTTTCTATTTGTTTTTTTTTTTTTTTTTTTGCAATCAGGATCAATATAGAAACATTTTTTCAAAATAAGAAGTAAAAACTAGTGGACACTCGAGCTCTAGAATAATAGAATTAGTAGGTCAAAATCATTACATTAATGCAGTATTCTCTTGATTGAGGCAACTTGAGTGTGGAGCCACTCGTTTGCTCTTTTAACAGAAAACAAAAGCCAATGGTTAAGCATAGAAGAACGTATGCCTTTGTTTCTTTGTGTGGTTCTCTTTTCTTATCCCTACGATACCAACAGAGCAATTTTTTTTTCCCACATTCCTTCATTATATATCAGACAAAACATTATTCGCCTCAGGGAGAACAAGAAGAAAAGAATGTCAGAAATAGAAAACAAAAAGCCAGAAGTAGAAGAAGAAGAATCATCAGCCACTACTACTACGACATGGCCGGATATCGAAGAAGAACTAGTGATACCCGAGGTTTTACATAGCGAAGGCGTGAAGAAACTTCACATGAGCATTCAAACCGAGTGGGATTACCTTCAGAAGTCTGCTTGCCAAACCGCTGCAGGAAGAGCATTGTGGAAACATGTCATTCATGATCCACTTGCTCATTTGTTTGCTGGAGAGACACATTTGAGAAACCTACACACAAAGATTCAGACTGATAGGCTCAACAATGCTCGAGAGGTGTCCGGTGTGATTCTAGCAGTTCGAACTCTCTGGTTTGACACAAGGATTCAGGCTGCTCTGGATTCTTTCGACAATGATGCAGCGCAGGTCGTTCTACTCGGTGCAGGTATGGCTTCCCTGGTTTAGACATTTTAAATATGTTGTTGTGAGATAACATTGATATATGTGAAGCAAGAATTGAAGATAAGTAGCCAATAACATAGAATGGTGTGATTAAAACTCAGGGATGGATGCGAGATCATACAGACTAAGCTGCTTGAACAAAACTGACGTATTCGAAGTGGATTTTCCTGATGTCTTAGAAACGAAAACGAGCCTAGTTCAAGCTGCAGTAAAAGCCAGAGAGGAGCTTAAGATGACGGCGAAGTCACTAGTCAGAGTAGCAATCGATATCAGAGACAATCATTGGTTTGAAAAACTTAAGAAATCGGGTTTCATGCCAGAGGTAAACACGGTATGGGTTCTCGAAGGCATTCTCTATTACCTATCTCACACAGAGGCAATGCAAGTACTAAACCTCATAGCTGAGAAGTGTGCACTCACCAGCACAGTTCTCTTGGCGGATTTCATGAACAAACCGTCTGCTACGCTGCCAAACTCTGTGTTCCACTTCTACAGTGACTGGCCTGATCAGCTCTTACCATCTTTGGGGTTCTCTCATGTCAGCCTCTCACAGATTGGTGATCCAGATGCGAATTTCGGTCTGCTGCACGACCCACGGAATCTCTTCAACAAACTTCTTCGCCTGCCAAGGTCTGCACAGATCCACCCAGACGATGGAACACCGTGCTGCCGCTTATACTTGGTCGAAGCTTCTGGTTCACCGCCTCCAGATAATCCCATAGAGAACATGTAAGCATGTAAAAGCTCATTCAACAAATGCATGTGGCACTGCACACTTTTGCAGAACATGTATATGCTGAGTCTTTCACACCATAGAAACTGTGTAGGAGATTGTTGGTCATTTGATGTATAAACCATTGATATATCGTAAACTCTAAACTCAAAAGTTAAATTTCTCATCTCCTTATAAACTGAAAGGAAGAAAGAAGGCCTTTCATGGGGTAATCTTTCTTCCTTACTGTAACTCAAAACGACTTTTAAGTAACGAATGAAGCTCAGCATCAAACATATGATTAAATTAATATAAAACAACATGTTTTCATTTTGGACAATTGTATGTTGCTACCACTAAACAGCCACGAGGAGTTTACACTTCTTCGATTCAACCTTCGAGAAGAAAAGAACAGACTTCATCTCAGATCTCAAGGCAGTCCTTGACACTCTTTTCAAATTTGTCAAGAAAAGAGATCGACTCCATAACTGCATCCGAAATATTTTTTCTGAAAAACAAGTTAAATATTGCACTGCTTTAGTGACATGAGACCAGAACTATCTTGAAAAAATAGGATCTCTCAATCTCCATGTTTATAAAGAACTCGTTGAGGAAACAATAACCTATCAGAAGGAAGATTCATATCAATCCCATTCGTGAGCACGATGAGGGAACCAAAGGACCTGCGATATAAAACTGCGGAATTAACAAAACTATGCAACAAGCAAGAACCATATAAACAGCATTCTTCATACAAATTAACCAATTGTATTCAACAGTTACCTAATGAGATCATTTAGTATATCCTCTGCTTCCACTTTGAGTGGATCTTTATCATCTAGTAATGAAGCAGCATTCTTCACAACAAGCTTGAATGTGCAAACCTGAAACATCATTCACTTTCATAAGATGACCAAATCATTCAGATCATTTGAAATTATCAAGAAAAGGGTTTAAAAATTAAGACCTCAACTCCGGTTTTAGACTGAAAATCCACCAGAGAACTTCTCTCTTTAGGTACACAGTCTCTAGCAGAAGACCTTAACAGATTCTGAAGGCTCTCCAAATCTTTATCCGTGTAATCAGTTTCTCTAGTTGCTTATGTTACAAAAACAAAAATTAAAAATTTTGAATGAAACAGAACAAACAAAATCTAAAACAGAGAAAGAAGACAGAAATCGTACTGAGCGAAAGATAAACAGAGCGGAGGCTTTCACGAGATGCATCAATGGGAGCTAACAAGAACCTCGATGACTTCTTCTTCTGATCTTTCAACCATTCTTTAGGTCCTGCTGCGTGAAACCCACAAGGGATTAGGGTTTTCTCTCAAATTTAAAAGGATGATTATAATTACAGCAAAATTGTGTGTGTACAGATTCCGAAGGCAAAAGCGGGATCAATCGGAGAGAGAGAGAGGAGGAGAGTGACGGAGGAGAGAGAAACGGCGCCGCGACGAGAGAGAGTGCGAGGGAGGTTGTCGGAGGTTTGAGCGGAGATTGGTGTTTGAGGTTCAGTGGTTGAAGAGAAGAAGGGTTGGAGAATGGGGATAAGAGCAGCCATGGCTAAACAAAAGTTTAAGATATTGGGTTGGTTATATTGATTGGGTTGAGATCGGTTTTGCCGAAATGTGTGAGAGTAGTTTTATTGTGAGGATTGAGTCGACACGTCTCAAACACTGGCTATTGGTAATCTCTTGAATATATGGCCTGGCTGAAATTATTATCTGATATCTGATTTTTAATTTAGTATCCGGTTTTATCTGATCCGTAAAAACCAAATATTTGTAGAATTCGGATCTGAATCCGGATAGTGAAATTAAGTATTCGGTTATTTTAGATACGGATTTGGATAATAGAAAATTTTGAAATCGGATATCCGTTATCATTTATTCGTTTATTAAATATTTATTTATTTTAATAATATTTATTGAAATTCATATTGCTTTTCTATTTCAGATTGTGAGAGAAGAACATGAAAATAGATAACACATAGATATGAAGATAAATTAACTTCTCTGTTACTATTTTCTCTTTTGCTATGTAAATTTTTAAACTTTGTGCTATTTGAATGCTACTTGAATGCTTTTGTTGAAGGCATATCTCCTACAAAACAAGAAAAAACGGGTAGGCCTGAAAAACACAATAGTGGAATGTTTTCTGATGGCTTTCTGACGCTCAAGTCATAAAACAGTAAAAGAAAAAATTACTAAGTGATAAATCAAAGAGATGTAGAGAATACTGGAAAATAGAAAAGAAGGCAGGCCGAGAGCTCTTCGGGAGGAGTGAGTCTATTTGGGCTTAAGTTTAGTGAATTTTTTGAGGTAGAAAAAAGACCAGCCTTTGGTGTGTCCATTCAGTATACGATCTAGATTCAGCTGTTTAGATGTGGTATGGTCTTTGCTAAGCCTCTGTCTTCTTTTATATCCCGTGTGTGATCACTATCACCTGACACGTGTAAACGTTGAGCATTGAATGTTGATCTCGTGGGTTTACAAAGGTATGGGCAATCGATTTAGTCAAGCGCATATTCCAATTATCGAGTGGAAGAAATTTAAATAGTGTTTCCTACTTAAGAAGATATGCATACCAGGCCCGGATCCTTTGATAATAGGAACGGGCTGTTGAGATTGTTTTACTGACTATCGTTTTTCTCCGGATATTTGTGTGGATTACATTTCTTTAGATCCTGATCCTTCCAGATCACTCAGCTTAGGTCTAAGACATAAAGAAGACAACCTCTTCTCCTTTTGAACACTCATTTTTTGACCTCTTTGTTCCTGACAGTGTGGTCTTCGCTATCAGGCACGAGGAACCCAGGAATAGGTGGCTCTCATGCTGGATAAATGGATTCGAGGCCTGATGCTATGTGTTTAGGTTATAGTGGGCCAACAGTCCAAAACGAAAGCTAATTTGGCATGGGGGGTGATAACACCGTATTTTAACCACTTTTGTGGATCGTTTTGAAATACTTTTTGTATGTTTTTTATTGCTTTCAAGTACTTTTATTATGTTTTTCTAATATTTGTAGTTCCAGGACTCTTTTCAGGAAACTTAGGGAAAAGCTTAACAAAATGGATAGAAGACCAGATTTTCAGCTCAGAGTCAAACCGTCAGAAGTTCACTCCCAATTGAAGACCTTCTCACCGTCTGATCCAGCTCAAATTTGGTGATCTCAAAGATGGAACTATCAGATTTCCAGCACACTTTACAGCTTGGCAATCCAACGGTTCAATCAAAAGTTGCGCGAAGAGCAAGATGTCTCGTAAACCAGCCGGCAAGCATTTTCACCCGCGGCCAACAGCCATTTCACCACGGTCAGAGGCTACCCGACCGCGGCCAAGCATCCATTCGCCATGGCCACGTACCTTCCGACCGCGGCCAGCCATCTCCGAGTTAAAAGGCCCATTTCTGAAGCCCAAAATGATTCCCTCATTTGGAAAAACCCTAAGTGACGCACAAAAATGTCTTGAGCACTATAAATACATGTTTTAGGAACCCTAATTCGTATGCCATATTATGCTCTTATTGTTTTAGAATTCTTTTTAGGTTTTTCAATACTTTAGCTTTTAGGGAGATAGAGATCTATCTCTTGAACCATTTTTCTTTCTTCTTCAATTTCGATTATTGCTCAGCTTTTTAATACTATGTTTTTGATTTCGCTCATCATGCCTGAGTAGTTTTATTGTTGGGTCAAACTAATTGTCAATGGCGTTATATATGTACGATGAGGATTCCATGAGCTATTGAAGCCGAATCCTATAATTTTTTCTTCTGAATTTACTTTTAATGCATGGGAGTAGCGTCATGAACTACAATCTGATTCAGATCCTTGGTGATACGAAAGTATTCATCCGGTGTCAGATCTATTTTGGGAGAGTAAAACAAACATAGGAGGGGAAACCTACCTATGGGAGATTTGTGAATGCTGACGAGTCTTAATCATATTGCATATTTTCTCTTCCAGGGCCACAGTGGAAACCTACTAGTCAGGGTTGAGAGAGATAGTTGTCTATGATCACGACAGTGGCGTATTCATACGTCCGTGACTCGAGTTTGAAAAGTTTTAGCTAGGATCTTATTAAATTTACTATTTAGCAATGTTTTGAATCGTTCATTCCCCGGAGAGAATTTCTCTGAAACCCAGCGCCTCTTTTCTATTGATTTTCCCAGATTTTATTTCAAGCTTTAGTTCATCATTTTCATTCTCTTAATTGATTTTTATTTAAGCAATTAGGTTTAGCTGTTTTTCTCTTTTTTAGTCGGTTTCATTAAGTTTAGTTATTAGGTCATTTTAATTCTTGTATTTTTTCGTTAAGATTAGTTTTTACGTTTTAAAGACACCACCAAAACCCTTACAAAAATCGCCTGTATCTAGACTTTCTTACTTTATATTTCTTTCGAAAGCTTTTGCAGGAAAGATCCTCCTTCCCTGTGGATTTGATCTCTAAGTACTACAATCGATCAGCTGTGCACTTGCGGCTATTGATTTCATTTAGGGTAAAACTTGACAACCCTCACGCAGACACACATCAGGGGACCATACCTGCAATCACATGATTTGTCCACGTAAGAAAGATCGAATTTATCCCCAACACTTACGAAACACTCCGTTATCATTGAGACAGATTTCCAAGGTTTTGTCAATTTATCGTGCAATCATTGGTACGTTATACGCACATTCAATAAGTTCTCCTATCAATAAGTTCCCCTATCAACTATAAATGAAGTTTAATCTTGATCTTCAGGGCTCATTAGTATTTGATTATATCTTGAAAATACATCAATCAAAGATAGCAGGTCGTGTCCACTATTTGCTTCTACTAGTCGATCAATGTGTGATAATGAGAAGGTTTCTTTGGAACAAGTTTTGTTTAAGTTTCTCGAATCAACACAGTCTCTATTTCCTTTTTTTTTTTTTACTACCACCAAGTTTGCTAACCACTTGGGATATTTAATCTCACAAATTTAACCGTTTTTAGCAGTCTTTCAACCTTTATTTGACAGCGGTTAATCCTTCTGGTCCATGTTTTCTCCTTTTTTTTTCTTAATTGGCTTAAAGGATTCGTCCATATTCAACTCATGCGAGATAGGCATATCCTAGGCTGACAAAGCGAATTTTGCCTTATTCTCCAATAGGAATTTTATCAATTCGTCCTGTATGGGTTCTTTTAAGATTGCCCCAATGTTGACAAATTTTTTGGGATCAGAATCATTCATTATGACCGGATCGACTTCATCAGAACTACTGAACTAAGCCTTTGGTGGAGCTGACCATACTGATAAATTTCAACTAGTTTGCAGATAACAATGCAGAACTTGCAATTTTCTGATTTCCATTTGAAGTTATGATGATCATCTGAAGTCAGAGTTTTAAAGCATTGATGAAAAACCTACGGACTCGCTTTTACAAGGTTTATCCATGAGGTGTCTAAAATAACGTTGTAAATTGATGGTCATTTCATAACCAGAATTTAGTAGTAAGAAAATTTCCACTAATTCGGATAAGCAGATCTACCATACCAAGAGTAGTGATTGCCTTTCCAGTAAAACCAACCAATGTTTCTAGTCGACAGTATGTGTCATATGCATTCTTCTGTCTGAAGGCTTTGCAAAAAACTATGTTTACCAAGTTTGTAGTATCAACTATGATTCTCATTACATTGTAGTTTCTGATTTCTAAAGTTAGCATTATCCTCGTGTGTGGTTTTTTAACAAAAACACATTTTTTATTGAAGACAATCCTTGATAAAGGTTGTCTGGTCTGTCTAATCAAAGAATTAACTTCTTTTGTGAAATGATCTCAGCTAGATGAAATTTACCACCCTCATGGGTATCATCTTTATTCTTGCTTGATCATGATAAAAGTATTAAACCAAAAAACTTTGCCAACTAATATTTTTCGAGCAAGATTGTTTCAACTTCCAACAATCTTTAGTGTTGTGACTCCTAGTTTTTGGGCCTCACAAAAAGCTTTCTAATTTTGGCTCGCTCTTCTTTCCAATCTCTTGGGGATTGGTAAAGTCCCCCTTAGAGTAGTCAAAAGTTCATTCGACTATCTCGAATCTTCTTATGATGGATCCTCCTAGCGCCGAATTATTGAAGCTAAGAAATACATAGTTAAAATTTGTAAATATAAAAAAATATGGCATCTTTGGCTTATCTTTACGAAAAGAAGAACCAAGATATTATTGAGCAATAAACAGCAAGTTGTTGCTTAATGAGAACGAATAGGATTCAGGATTATTGAGCAGTAAACACACTAGTGTTTCCAATATTTAAAAATGTTCCTAACAATGGTAGTTTGGTCAAATCTGATTTATAAGGCTAATCAAATATGGATAACCCACATAAAAACAAAAAAAAAATTCTTAGTTTGAAATTAATTTCTCATTATTGTTCTTTTTTAAAAAGTTTTTTTAATTCATTTAAAATTACTTTTTATCTTTCCTTCATTCTTTTCTCAAAGATGCTTGAAACTTTTTCATTTACTTAAGTAAGGTGGTGCTTGGTAGAAACTTTAAAAAATTTTGATTTTAGACTCTTAAATTTAAGAAAAACTGTAGAGAATTTTACTTTGGGGTTGCTTGGTGTAAACTTTTACTTTTGGCTTTTACTTAAAAAATAAATTGTAAAAAATTTTACTTTTAAAATAAAAACTGTGATTTTAGAAAATTAAAAATTCCACGAATGTAGCTTTTAAAATAAATGAAGTTTAGAGAGTAAAAAAAAAGAAGTGGGCAGTTAAGGCTGTAGAGAAAAAAAGGAGGTAAAAGTGTGATTGGCAATTTTTTGACTTTTAAAACTTTAAAACAAAATAAAATCTTAAAAGCCTAATGCAAGTAGCCCCTTTAAAATAAAAAATTGTAACTTTTAAAAAATAAAAGTCATGAATTGTTGGCTTTTGGAAAAAAAGTGAAACGTAGAACAAAAACTAAAAATCGGCTGTGAGTTTTTTTAGGGACTTTGAGTGATTTAGGACACTTAAAAAGTGCTTGCCAAAATTTAAACTTTAAAAACTTTTTTTTTTTAAGTCTCTAAAGCCTAAAAGTCTAAACACCAAACACCCCCTGAGTATTACAAATTCTGAAAAGAAGAGAATATGTTTTTTATATTATATTAAAATGATCCATCAGGCTAAAAACAAACACAAGTGTAAAGTTTTTTTTTTGCTCTCAACTCTACTTTCAGATCAATCATCACGATATGCCTTGAAACAATACCGTTCATGGTAAGCAACGTTGAAGAAAAGATCCGCCTCTAACTCTTTCGCACAGCAAACAAGATCTTAGGGAAAACAATATTGTTCATGTCTATGTCTTCGGGAAAAGTGTGTGATGAATTTTAGGGAATACATATGTGATTTAACGAGTTTTTTTCAGGTAAGTAGTTCTTTTGGAGGATGTTTAATGAAAAATTATTTGATGTTTTATGCTTTTGGAAGAAACATGTATACTCTTTTGGATTGTTATGTTGTAATCTGTTTTGGTGTTGCATTTAGCTACCTATTGTATAGTTGTTGATATATTTTATATATCGTGTATTATAAAGTGCCAGATTCTACACTATTTTGTCTCCTCCTAGGATGATTATGATGTTAATTATATTACATAATTTACTGTTAATTGATATATGTCCGAATCATGTAGATCATATAATCGTTGGGGATGTATATGATATTGTGATGGCATGAGGTTGCAGCTAGTATGGGTAGCTCCCCTTGCTGTGATTCTATGGGAATGTTCTCGAACACGTTCGGTCTATTTTTTGAGCAAGAATCACAGCGTTACCTTACTTTCACCATGATATGTAGTAAACAATCATTTTATTTTAGAAAAGTACAAACTAATTTGATGAGATTTTTAATAGTAATATATGTGAAACTAAGTAACAATTCTCAAATTTTATTCTCTATTTCTTTTCTGATTTAGTTTAATAGCATAATAAAATTCATTTTAGACCATTGAGTAAAGGATACTTAAGTTTTGTTACTCATGGTAATTTTTGTCTTACAAGTAAGTCTTTGGGTAGGGCAGAAGTACGACAGTCCAAATATCCAATATTATTTATTTATTTATTTTTATTTAAAAAGGCTTATTTTCAAAGAAAAATAAAATAGATTCAGTCCAAACAATATAATATTTAGTAGAATTTAAGGTTTCTTTGTAAAAAAAATATTTAAATAAAAGTCTAAATAATTAAGTTTTAATATAAATGAGAATTAAAATATTAGTTTTTTGTGTAAATTTATTAGGGGTCCAAAATTTGTTTTTGCCTTAGGGTCTGAAAAACTGTTGTGTCAGGGTTGCTTACAAGAAGCCTTAAACGAGACGTAGATGCACCTGAGCAGAATTCCACACAGGCGTGTAATAGGGAACTGTTATTATGTAGTAATGTGAACCAGATTTTACAAGCTTATGGCGTTTGTTTTATCGAGTCAAAATATTTTATTATGATGATATTTGTTTTGTTCGGATCATTTAACACAACTCTCAACCGTGGTACAAGTTTTTAAACCTTAAGCTGTAACCAGGCCCAACTCAAACTTACAATGAATCTTAGACAACTTTTCTAAACAACCCTGATTTTATATGTATTTTATATATTTAAAAATATTTATACTCTATTTTATTTAGACCCTAAACGTAAAGTAATTTTGTTAAAAACTAACTCGATCATGTGTATTTTCACCATGGGAACATGTCCAGTCTCTGGCACAATAATACTACTACTAGGGTCAAATTTTGCAGCTGGACTGACTGCAGCAACTGTTGTGTGTGCGACTGTGGACAAACCGTCTACGAGACCCAGACAATGTGATGGTTCCGGGCTGGTTATGTCTAGAATAGTCTGGGGTTTTACAGACCTTACAATTAAATGTTGTGTACGTTCTACTAGTAGTAGGAGTTATGCAATAAAATATAAAAGGGTTTGTTATGCAATATAGTAGAAGTTAATGGGTATCTAAACAATATCCTCAATGAACTTGGAAACCAGAAAAACATTTCTTTATTGCTTGCAACAGTTCAGATTCTAAAACTCCGGAAAGTTCATATTATTTCTGATCGATAGCGATATTCAAGTTGCCGAAGAAAATGGAATCAAATCTCCTTCCCCACTTTAAGGTTCGATTTTAGGTTTCTAGTTTGCTCAATCCCTGAAATTGTAAAAAATGCATCGAACTCTTCCTGAATTTAAATCTTGAACTGTTTCCGCAATTCAATTTTTTGAGCGAGATTTCTTACGAACCTCCAGAATGTCAGAATTTGTGGTTTTGCTTGTGCTTTGTATGTTTTATTCTTCGTTCTCATTTCTTGTTTTGTAGCTAATTTTGGGATCTGCTTCGATTGCTCGACGTAAGGTATTAAGCGACATGGGATACCAATTCACTCTAATGGTAATTTATATAGTTTAGTCCTCTTTCTTCTTCCTTTGGAACATTTAACAAAAAAAAAATTCACTTTTGTATTTGGGGTGATATAATTCAAGTAATTGTTTTATGTAGAGTGCTGATATTGATGAGAAAAGCATCCGCATGGAGAAGCCTGAAGATTTGGTATTGGCTTTAGCCGAGGCAAAGGTACTTTCATTAGTCATGTAGAAGCACAAATATTTGTAATCTCTGCCTGTATGCAATATATTATATGTGACTATGCTGATAATTCTTACCTATGTCATCTTCTGCTTTCTTCTAATAAGTAGATATAATGGTTATTTGTACGATTCATATTTCTTCAATTTGTATGTAGTTTGCTTTGTTGATATTCTTTCCTCAAACGAGGAAAACATTATATTCGTTTCTTGTTTCTCGTGATTTATCTATGAACTACATCTCAGGCTGATGCTATTGAGTTAAAACTACAAACTACTGAATGTGAAGTTGAGGAACAACCCACTGTCTTGATTGCAGCGGATACAGTATGTATTTTTTTTTGGCTTGGCTAAGTTCTAGATAGTCTCCAACTATCACCAAGTACCATTTTCTGCTTCCGGGGATGCATCATCTTCTTGGCAAAACACACTCGTAATTAGCTCTACGTAGTCCGGCATTAGAAGTACCCTAATTGATTTTATCTCTTGAAAGTCCTGTATATCTTCTTCTGAGTCTATTATGTGTCATTCTCTAGTTTTGATTGATTTTGTTGGTGCTCCTTGTTTATCTTCTGTATAGCATTTTCTTCGGATATGCACTTTAGATTTATATACTCTGCTTACATGATCTAACTTGTTTTGTAGCTCCTATTTTTAATTCATATGTTAGAGCAATATAATCTGGTTTATCTTGGCATATTATTAGTTTCGACAGAGTTTATGCGTACATCTATATCACCAAGGATTTTCCATATCTGTTTTTTTCCTTACGTTCTGTTTCGCCCATCAAATAACATTTCTTCTTCATCACAAACTTTAATATGCCGGCGAAATCTTTTCCCAGGCTGAAGCAATCATGCAGAGGATCCCTGATGATGACAGCATACAGGAGGATAAGTCGACATTACTTGTTACTTGCGACCAAGTACTGATCTATATTTGAATTTTCTGAGCTTTCTTAAACTTACCATTTATATTCTCAGCTAGCTAGCCGTCATGGACAGCCATTTTTTAGGTTAGGTTAGTATCAATAGGAGTCTAAAAGAGCTAAGATTGTATAAATTGTTAGTTGGTTCAGTAGTTAATAGGAGTTGACAAATGAGAAGGTGGGCCATCCTAAGGACATAAATGGTATTTGCTGATATTGGATGCTCTACCAGAGACTTGGATTTAATGTTTTGAATCGTTATGAAGGTGGTTGTCTATGAAGACACTATCAGAGAGAAACCCTCGAGTGTGGAAGAAGCAAGGGAATACATTAGAGGTAAGCTCGCATGACCTTCCTTGTTAACTACAACTCGAGGCTACGGTTAAAATATCTAAATTCAAAACACAGGCTATTCAAAGGGACACACAGCAACAGTGAGTTCTGTGGTTGTGACAAATCTCAAGACAGGATTCCGAAAAGGAGGCGTCGATAGAGTGGAGGTAACAGTTTACTTCATTCGAGTTGCGATTATACAAAAAATTGTGCAATATATATATATATATATATATCACTAGCTGATGATTTGACTTCTTAACAGATCTATTTCAATGAAATACCGGAGGAGATTATCGATAAATTGGTGAGAGGTGGTCTGATGCAGGTTTTAATATGTATATTTTTTTCACCATATAAATATTGCCTCTTGATGAGCAGATTGAGGACGGCATGGTGCTTAAGGTGGCTGGTGCACTTGTAATCGAGCATCCTCTAATATTGCCATGCGTTAAAGAAGTGGTTGGATTTCTTTGCCTTCTGCATTTTGACCATCATACTATGACTTTACTTGGATTTGAGCGTAAAGTCGTATTTCTTCATCATCGTAGAGGATAAACAAATAAACCGTGCAACAAGTTAATCTTATGGTTTCGTTTTCTTGTCAGTTGTGGACAATGAATGGTTAATTCAGGGTGTATTGTTTTATCAGGTTGGGACAACGGATAGTGTGATGGGTCTGCCCAAAGAATTGACTGAGAAACTTCTCAAGGAAGTATTGGCAAGCACATAGGTGCCTTGAATTGGTGCCTGTTTGGTCTCTAAATGCTGTATTCGTCATCTTCAACTCGTGAGTATTCAGTTGTTTTGCTTCCTCGTTTTTTCTAAAACCTTTAGATTAGGATTGCTAGTGTTTTTGGTTTTCTGTTGCAGTGATATTTTTATTAAACCAACAAAAACAAAAACACTAAACAATAGAGTTTATCGTTTTTCTCTTGTCCACATTTTGCGGGATATTTAGTACATTCGGTACTGCTTTCTCTCGTCTTTTGCTTCACTGATTAGTAACGATTAAGCAGTACACTCTATGCCGCGATGATTAAAGGTTACCAATCAAAATCGTTATCTTTCAATTTCAAATGCAAACTAGATTCTAACCAAGATGCACGAGAATATTTTTTATTGTTTAACGAATTTTGTAATATAATTTATGTTTTTGAGTTTAGATATATTATTTTTATAAATATATTTTTTAATAAGTGAAAATATTAATTTTGTGTTTAGATATATTTTTATAATATTAAAATTAATTATGATTATAAAAATATAATTTTAACCCGTCCGCTAATATTAATTCAAAATAAACTATTATAAAAACATAATTCTAACTTTTTCGTTCATATTACCGTATAATATAATATTTGTTAAAAGTTTGAAATGTATTAACAGTATTATTTAGCATTATAGTTTTCTAAAATTTAATCAATGAAAGAAGTGTACAACTAGTTTTTCAAACCACATTTTAGTGTATGCAATAATTTTTAATTTTTATGTTTTTATTTTATATGAAAAATATATTTTCGATATACATGTATAATTCAAAGTTAATGATTTTAGTTACCAAAATATTTTTAACCAGGTTTTTATATATATTTTTAGTTTTATGAATTATAAAAAATATATATTTAATATTTAAATTATACATTTGAATTTTATCTATTATTTTATTATTAATTTGTAAATAAATCATAATCGTAAATATATTATATAAGCAACATAAATATCATATCATTTACATCATTGTAAATATTTAATATTTCAAATATGACCAGTATTTCTCATATGTGAATTATTTTTTTTTCAAAAATTCTACACATTTTTGATAAAAAATGTTTAATAGTATAGAAATTATTTAAATTAGAATCTTTAAATCAAATCTAAATTAATATCTGATTTATTATTTTTAATCAAATCAAATCAAATCTAAATTACTTATATTTAAGGAACTCTAAAAATATTTAAATTAATAACTAATTTTCAAAATTAAATAGAAATAATTATTAAAATTATTTTTAAACACTTAAAAAAATTAAAAGTGTTTGGAAGCAAGTACTAAATATGCTTCTGTTTTAATATAATAGATAATAATATTTGAAACTACGGTAATTAAACTTTAAATATATATTCTCTTCGTTTTCAAATAATTTAGTTTCTAGAATTTTCACAAATTAAGACACTAATAACACATAGGGTCCAACTGATGACCATAATTGAGAAAAAGAATGATAGGGAATATGGTATTTCTCTCAATTCTTAACTTTTTTACCATTTCAATGGAATATTTGTTACACATAATTCATTTCTATTTCTTCTTATATGAAGAATTATAAAACAAATATATTTTTTATCAAATTTGATAGGAAATAGTTGTATATTCCTCTCTATTTATTATTTTAAAATATTCATTCATGTTTCTGGTTACTATTTATTGTGACAATTTGTTATATTTCTTCTCTGTATTGATTTATTTTTATTTTTTTCCATATGATTCCTTTTATTTTTTTTTCTTCTTATCATTCTTCTTATTCTTGATATTGTCACCAGTTGGATCCGTAGTTATACTTTGCATCAATAAATGTAAACAAAAAATAAATAAAAAAGCTAAAAATTACTTGTAATCACAATAGTTGTATGTCCTCTATTGTAGATTGTGAAGACATTCTAATGAAATTGACATAGATCAACTTTTGATAATTTTGCTACCGTTCTTTATACAGCAAAGAAAATTAGTGAAGTAACTGATCAGGCATATCGCATCGTCTTCCTCAGACTGTAATAAAGAAAGGGTGGATTACTCATGTATCCTGCAAACCAATGTTTATTAATAGTTTGACACACTTTTATTGTTTATGCTAAATTAACCTCGTATACCGATCTTGCCCTTTTGGGCTTTGTTGAAAAAAACATTATTACGAAAATGCTATTATTTTTTATATGCCACGTAAGCAAAAAGTATCGCGACATTATGCATAAGTCTACCACTATTTATAGTAGACTTGTTTGAATTTGGTCAACGCAATTTTTTGATGGTAGATTTATTTGAGAGTTGGTAGATTTGTTGAACCTTAGTAGACTTGTTTTAGTAGACATATTTTTATAGCATAGTAGACTTATTTTGTGTTGGTAGACATATTTATTGTTGGTAGATTCATTATCTTTAATAATAGATTTATGAAAATATCGTTGACTTATCGTAAGTGTTTGATTTTTTTGGTAGATTTAAATAGTAATGGCGACAGATTTATTTGTAATGGTGACAAATTTATTTAGTTTGATGTACAGTAGACTTATTTTGCTTGGTAGACTTATTGCTATTAATAGTAGCTTTATCAGGAGTTAGTAGACTTATTCGTATATATGGTAGACTTAAAACAATCGTATTTTAGAAAATAATGTGGTAGATTTAATTATAAGTATGGTAGGTTTATTAAATTTTGGTAGATTTAATATTTGTAATTTACAATACTGGTAGACTTATGTTTGTATTTTGTTCTTACTCAATTAACCTGCACTTTGAAAAATAATCTTCAGTTTAGTAGACTTATAACTATTTGGGTGATGGTAGACTTATGAAGCTGGTTTATAGTAGACATTTGACTTTTTAAAAATTTGAAAAGACATTTTTGCCCAAATTTGTTCGTAGATATTACAAAAAAAAAACTGATTGTGTCATCTTCTTCGATTAGGGTTGCAGCCGTCGAAGTATGATACTTGAAAATTTATATTTTATGGTAGACATGTTATTTAAATAACCACTTGTAGTATACTTATTTATATTTTATAGTGAACATATTATTTGAAGTAGCATTTGTAGTAGACTTATTCACATGTTTTATAAGCAGATCAGGGTTGAAGATGCCAAACTTTTGGCTGTGCAAGTTATTGATGCAGATCAGTCAGAGGTTATTGGCACAAATTCTGCCCATGTTGTCAATTTGAAAGAAAAAACATGTACCTGCCGTCGGTTTGATCTTGATAAAATCCCTTGTGTACATGCCATAGCCGCTGAGGAAGCAAGAAAAACTTCACGAATCTCCCTATACCATCCCTACTATCAAACAAATTACTTGCAACATGCTTACGTAGGAAGTGTAATGCCAAGAGATATAGCACTACCAGTGCCAGAAGAAATGGCTAACAAAATTTTTCATACTGTTTTCGTTCGCAATCCTCCAGGCAGACCAAAGAAGACATGCATTAAGAGTGCATTCGAGATCGCGACAGCGAACAAACGTCCAAGACAGATGCCTAAATGCTCTACTTGTGGTAAAAGTGGACATAATCGCATCACATGTAAAGCCTAAATTTTCTACTTTCTTGTAATAATCGGTTTGTTAGACTTGTAACACTTGCTTCATTTTTGTACTCTCTTCTAGTACTTGTATTGTCGTACTTTTTTTAAAAAATTATTGTCGACCTAATTGATGCAAAATATTCCAATAATTAACCGTTTTAACATTAAATATACCAAATTTTCAAAGAACCAACATCATGCCAAAAAACATCATGGTCCTTTTTAAGTCTAGTTCATCAATATGTCCTAAAAGAATCCGCCATAGAAGTCTTCCGTCGTTAGGGTTCGACATACAAAACAATAAAAGTCTACCTTCGTCAGGGTTAGACATAACAAGTCTACCGTCATAACTGTTTGACATACAAAATAAGTTTATCACTCTCAATCATTTATGGAAACTCTTCTTCTGCAGAGGTGATCTCCCAGGCGAAAATAGTGTGGATGGGTACTCCTTTGTCTTGCTAGAAGAGGCGATCTCTGGATATATGTAATAAGAATTAGTCTACCATTCTTAATCAGTTACAAACAAGTCTACCACTCTCTATACAAATATGTTTACCACTCCTCAATCATTTACGAACAAGTCTACCACTCACTATACGAATATGTCTACCACTATCAATCATTTATGAACAAGTCTACTAAACTAAACTCTATCTTTACTGAACATGTCTACCACTCTCAATCATTTATGAACAAGTCTACTAAACTAAACTCTATCTTTACTGAACAAGTCTACTACTCTTTCTGCTTTTCCGACAAGTCTACTACTCTTTCTCATTTATGAACAAGTATACTAGTCTTTATGGAAACAAGTCTACTACTCATTTTATATACCAATAACAAAAACTTAGCTTACTTAACAATAAATCGACCATAATATCACCCTAACTCACCGCAGATCTTCACCCTCACCGGATTTCCTCTAACCCACCGGGAATTTCTCTAACACCTGCAAACAAAAAATTAGGGTTAGATTTTACCCAACAAAAACGGCGCCGCAAGGTAATTTTCGCTGTCTAATCCTTGCTGTCGAAAACTAAAACGGCGCCGCAAAGTTTTCGCAAAGAAATTCCGGCAACTCCTCGAAAATCTGCGGCGACTCAAACCCTAAAAATCGTCGAACAACTCTGCAGATGCTTTGAACGGTGCAGAAACTTCTGTAAACAAAGAGGAAAGAATTTAGAAGTGTCAGGAAGAAGATCTTACCGGAAAACCTTCTATCTCCGCCGGAATCTGGTCGACAAAGTTCGTTCGTTCCTTTTCGCCTTCGCCGTCGCCGCTATCGTTCTTTTTTTTCAGAAACCAACAACTCCTCAATCTTAACTTTAACTTATTTCTATTTTTATTAATATCTATTTAAAAATAAAATAATATAATTGAAAATGGCAATTCTGTAATACTGTGTATCCTCGGGGTAAAATGGACATTGACAAACTTATTAAGGATAGTCTAGCAAGGTAGACTTATCCAAGGATACACTGGCAATAAACCATGCTTAGGAGGATAGTTTCATGCATTAACTCATAAAGAAAAGAGGTAGTGCTGGTGATAGAGAGAGGACAAATGCTATAGTTTTAGCCCGAAAAAGTTGTAGATAAAGAAGAATGAATGTGAAAAAAAAATTCCAACACCTGTGCTAATCTAATGACATTCAATCACCAGATGATGATTTTAG